AAATTTTGTTTTGGGTTTAGAAAATCTATCATACTTGAAACCCAATTCAAACCCCATTTTTCTTGTGTTTTTTGCACTTTCACTTCAAACTCATGACATTGTATTCCCTTTCCTTTGTTAAGTTTGTCTCCTTATCTATTTCTATGTTGGGAATTGAAGACTCTCGTGTTGTCAGGAACTTTGTATATGACATTTGTCATGACATTGTTCCTTGATATTTTGTCAAGTTTTATCATAACCTTTAGAAACCTTTATGCAAGTAATGCAATAGAGTTATACAAGTTATCATCAATATCCTTTTCTTCTTGCTCCTTATCGTCCTACACATCAACTTTGAAAGCAACACCCTTGCTTTTTCTTTTTAGGTTTGTCATTGATCGTAATATCAAAGGTTATCAATGAATCAATAAGTTCATACATTTCGATGGAACTATTGTCCTGAGCCTCTTCTATGGCAGTAACTTTCATATCAAACCTATTTGGAAGAGATCTATGAATATTTCTGGCTAGCTTTTCTTCAAACATTTTTTCACCAAGGGCATAGAAATCAATAATGGTTTCATCTTATTTCATTCTCAAGTTCTCAAATATGGTGGTGAGAAGTTAGAGTCTTGACATACAAAATTTTGAGGTGCCTTCATGAGAAATTTTGTGTATCTTGTGTGCTTCTTTGGCAACAGTACATGTGTTAATGAGATGAAATACATTTTTGTCAACTACATTGAATATGGTGTTAAGAGCACCAGAGTTTCAATGAGATCCTTCATCTTTATCTTTGGACCATTCTACTTCTGGATTTTGGGAAGGAGTACCATGTTATGTAGTAACCACTAAGATGTCAATCCTTTGATGATTGTCTTCTACGTTTTGTTATCCATGGATTTGAGGAAGGCAACCATGCAAGGTTTCCCATAATCATTGTTTGTGCCCTCTAGAATATGTAGTCTGTTTACAGATCCTCCTTCTTTAGTGGTATCCATTTTGAACATAATTAAAATATTCCCTGGAGCTCACCCAACCAGAACAAGGTGCTTGCTCTGATTTCAATTGAAATTTTGTTCTCTTTTGGAAAGATGTCAAACACGATGTGTCATACAATGCATGTAACAAGATTATTGCAATAACAGTTAAAATGAAGATAAATTAAACACAACAGAAAGAATTGATAACTTATTTCGGTGAAGTATCACCTACGTTTGAAGGATTTTAACCCAAGAAAGGAAATACTCTCTTAATAGTAAAAGTACAAATTGGTCTTGGTTTCGTTCAATGCTTTTTCTTAATACCACATGTGAATTTCTATTTAGGGCTACCTCTAAATATGAGACCCCTCTCAATTCCTCTCAAGCACTTTCCCAAGTGTTTGGACAGATACAATAGAGAATGAATGATGAAATCAATTACAAATAAAATAAACTTTATTCCTTTACAAAGGAATAACAATTGTTAATAGAGTTTTACAGCTTAATAAAGAAAACACAAAGACTCAAAAATACTAAATAAGCTTTGCTTGTTGTCTCAAGGTATGCATCTTCTACACGGATAGCTTCTTCTTAAATAGAAAAGAATCTAGTTGCATGGCCCATTAGGGTTTTGAACAATACTTACGGTTGAAGTAAACCCAAATACCACAAATCAATAATCTGATTTAATTTGACTTGCAATCTTTCATAAATTAAATCTCCGCCAATTTGATTTGGTCTTGACAATTGATATTTTGGAAAATCTTTCCTTATTCCAAAAAGTGTATAAAATAAACAAACAATAAAGGAAACAAATTAGGCGTGATATTCGCTTCTACGTTGGTTGGCTTTTGAGGCAAGATGTTCCTCAATGTGTGGGACATCTTACTTCACTTATTTTCCTCTTATTTTGAGCTCATAGAGACATGATATCTTAACATAATTTCATGGAATCTGGAATTACATGTTGTCTATAATAATATGTCAATCACTTGTAATAACACCCATAGTTTGTCAATTTTTTGGAGCATGTCTCAAACACATTTTCCTAAAAAAAGACGTGTTGGCTTTCACCGATTTTATACCTAGACCACTCATGTTTTTTAAATGAGATGTTTTCTTTCAACCTACCCAATTGATATATGTTGTGCTTGTACCTCTTCAAATAAAACTTTGTGACAATTGGCCTATATGGTATGACAAATGCTCTAAGAGAGCCATATATTTTCCATGTAATAAGAAGGGATAAATACGAAAACGTAGGATGCAAGGGCTAATATTCTAGGTTTGTTTAGGATAATTTTCTTCTAAGAGACTGTGTAGATTTGCATATTTTAAATGATGAATTTAACACGACTTTGTTTAAATATTTCATTGAGGATAGGAAATCCAAGATATTTATTCAGGGATGTTGTGCTACTTATGCTAGAGGTAGTAGTAAGTTGTTGAATCTTTATTTAAGAGATACTAGTGGGGGAAGAAAGTGTGAGACTTATCTAGGTTGATCTATAGACCTAAAACACGACTTAAATGATAAAAAGTTTAGTGATAATTATGACTTCATATTTATTAGTCTTAGCAAACACAAAGACAATGTCAGCAAATAGAAGGTGTGATAAGGGAGGTATTGTGCCTATGATGAATGTGCAGTTCGAAGAGCCATTATGGACCACATCAGTGATAGAAAGAAATAACTTTCCATGCAAATGACGAAGATGTAAGGTAATTAGTCCATTTATTGCATATTATGAGGTGTTTTGAAGGATACAATTTTATTTGTATTTCATAGAAAATACAAAACATGTGTCATTTACTTTGTTCAAATTCTTTCTAATGCATAACTCATAATTATGGATAATATTGATGTTTTTCTAGATAATATGAAAAATTGTGATTATTCTTGATTTTTTCCAAGGTATACAATGAGATTAAAATAAATCTCAAATGATTTAATGGTCGAACAATCAGATGTATAAGGATTCAAATCATAAAGGTTTATGACAAATCAGAACCAACGGCATGATCAAAGGTTCTTTTTAAATGCTTTATTAAAATTGATTTTTCATAATTATCTACAAGTGATAACCAGAAAATGAATTTTTTGTTTGATTAATGTTAGATTTCCTTTCTTTGTGAAAATATGTTGATAAGAATCAAAATCGTACAAGGTCTAACCAAGTGAATTGTGTGAAAACTTCATCCAGTTTTGGAGACAGAGTTAACCTCAAAAAGGTGGTAGAAGAGGTTCTTGAAGGCTAAACTCATGTCCTCCTGATACCCATACTAGTATTAGTAGACCCCCACGAAGGCCCGAGCAACATGATGAAGTTGCAAGGGAGGAATGCTAAGGTGGTTTAGGACTTCTTTCTCAAAAGTAGTAAGCAGAAGTCGGACACTCAACTTTTGAAAAATGCAATCATAAAAGAGAATAAAGCACAACAACCTTTTCGCACACCCGTTTATTTGTAGGGATCGTCGAGATCATCCAATATAAGGACGACCCTACCTCGAAGGAGGCTTGCGCCGCAAAATCTTTACGAGTATAAGAGGAGATAGTCTCTAAGTACTCAAGGTCCATCTAAGAGTAGTTGTTTGTGTTAGTCTCTGTCATCAGGTACGTACCTGTAAAGAAGAAAGAGAAAGAGTGCGAGATTGCAGACAAGGAAACAATAAAAGCTCAATAGTCAAAGCCTGAAAGAAGAAATGAGAGAAAATTAATGAAAAAGCAAAAGAGGACTTTGGAGACAAGACCTACCTTTTATAAGGAAGTCAAACGATGATCGAACAAACCAGATTATTTGTGAAAGAAATTACAAAATCAACGACTAGATCTTTCCTTTGGAAATGTAAACAAACTCAAGTGCACTCGAGTACAATGTAAGTAATGTTATACTCTAACTAGTCATTTTAGTCACGTGTCAGAAAGAAAGGGAGAAATATTTCAGTAGTCAACAAGCATTTAATATGTTTGTCCCCCACTACTTTTTCAACTAACTCCAAAAATTTCATTTATAGTTCGAAACAAACAACATCCTTTGAGATCGACCACGGCCACTAAAGACTTCCCCGACTACCTAACGTTCAACATGTCTTGGGACAATTTTTTTCGGCCAGCCAAAGGCCTAAATGGTTGAGGCCAAAATCAATGCAAATCCACTCCACTTATGCATGGTATATAAATCATCTCAAACGAAAAACAATATTTATTTTATGATATCCACTCTTTACTGCAATCACCTTGAATTTTAAACCGACTAAAATGTTGAAGTGCTAATTTTGTAGGTTCATCTCATATCACTGTATCGAAAATCAACATCATCGATTAAAGATTGTTTACCACCTACTTCAATTATTTTTTTTATTAGAGTAGAGAATATTATCAAATAAATAGAAAGAGACGACCGTGTGAACGTTGTTGTAAAAGTGTGGATATGGTGGAAAAGTTGGTCTTATGAAATAGTAAAAAATGAGAGACTCGTTTTTGTTATTTCACACGTCACCAACCATTGATTAGAGTTGAAGTTGATTAATATTCTTCATTTCACACGAGATAGTTACAATACAACCTTCCATAGACCCATTATTATTAGAATATTATTATAGAGCTGAAAGAAAAACACAATAATAATGTTCAACCTTCACGCACACAGGAACAAAGAAAGGGAAATCGTGAATATAAAATACCCATTCAATTTGACCTAATTCACATATTCATTCATTCATTCTTTGCAGATTAACCTAATTTACAAAAAAAATTAACGGTGAGTTTCTTTTTCAGTTTCATACCTTAAATCCTCCCTTTTTATTTCATTCATTTCAATTTCTATCATCCGTTTAATTTCTTTATAACAATAATCATGTCTAAATAAGCTAGCATCTTCAATTATTCATATCCATTTTATCATCATCATTCTAAATATTGCCAAGGTTTTATTTTTATTTTATTTCATTCAATTGAATTTCAGAAATGTTGTTTGTGTTTTATGCTTGCAGTTTTCACTTCATTCAACAACTTGTTTGTGGCTTCCAAACAATTGCATGGGGAATTGTGTGGTAATGTCAGAATCTTAACCCAATGCATACTCTTTCATCAATAATTTTATTGACTGAAACTTTCGTATTTCTAATGTCTACAGTCTCACTCTCGTGTGAAAGATGATGATTCTGTTCATCACGTGGATTTTGCTTCTGGGAAGGTTCATCTTATTAATACCAAAGAATCTTGGGACCAAAAGTTAGAACAAGCAAGGGGAGATGGAAAAATTGTAATTTTTACTGTCTTTTTAATTTCTAGCACAAGACATATTGCCATTTTGTTGTGCCGTTTGGCAGAACCTTATTGATTCTATAATTTATTTTCAACTTTCAACAGGTTGTTGCAAATTTCAGTGCGATATGGTGTGGTCCTTGTAAGATGATTGCACCATATTATTGCGAGTTATCCGAGCATTATCCATCCATTATGTTCTTATTAATTGATGTCGATGAACTAACTGTAAGTAGCGAAGTGATCCATGGTAATATTACTACTGTTATTATTATAATTTAACTGGATGTGGTTTTGTGTAATGCAGGACTTTAGCACGTCGTGGGATATTAAAGCCACGCCGACGTTCTTTTTTCTTAGAGATGGACAAGAGATTGACAAACTTGTAGGAGCCAACAAGCCAGAGTTGGAGAAGAAGATTGCTTGTGTTAATGTCGCTCCCCGACATCAATAGCGATTATTGTACGATACATATTCATGAAAGTTATGCTCAACTCTTCTCTCATCGGAGCCTGCAGTGATATGTATCCAATGTGTAATCCTACAACTTTGTCACTGTATTTTTCTTTGTAAGTAAATATGCAAACATTTCAAACGAATATCTTGTATTCAATTGATATCATTGTAGTTAAAAGAGGTTTATTTCTGATATATAAAGAATTGTTGAGCTTTACGGTTTTTAAAATTTTAGCATGAGAAAAGTTGGATTTCAATCTGATAGCACTACTGATCCCTTTGTTAATAAGTAAGTTTGGAAGCTGATATGATTTATGAGTGTGCATTTTGTTATGAATTGAGAAATGCGATTAGCGTTGTATCCAAGAGCACTTGGATGATATGGGAGAAATCTCTTTCACTTTAAGTAGAGGTTTCGGGATAAAATCTAGTATGTTCGAGGGATTAGTCTCTGCAATTGTGCGCAGAGGATATCCAGTTCTTACCAAAAAGTTACTTTTAACATGTTTTTGGTGATAAATTTTGATAGTTTGATAAATATTAACAAAAGAAAAACTTATTAACTAGTTATTGGTCAGAAATTCCAATATGATTTATTATTTCTGAATATTTAGATATAGAAATGGCAGCTTGTTTAGAAATGATATTCATCATTTCCTATTACTATTTCTTCATCTTTTCCACTAACTATCCTATCACAATATAGACAATATTTGTTGTTACAAATCATCCTGATCCTGGCATCGGCACTAGACACTCCACAGTTTCTGAATTTTAGATGTTTTCTTATCTTCTTTTTTGACTGATTTGATAAAAAAAACTACTTTCTCTTCAAGAAATTGCGTTGAGATAACTGCTGGTTTTTCACCTGTCCCGTAGCGCGGAAGGCAGAAGTTCCATGCAAAACGGTGACAGAAATGGAGAAAGCTTGTAACGGAGATAATTTTGCATGGAAATCAACTGCATATTGTCCCTCTTCAACTAATTTCATGCCAAAGGTAGGACTACTTTCTTTGGGTCCCTAAACACCAAATATTGATGTAAGTACTAGAAGAAGAAAAAAACAATTAAAGAGGCCCTTAAATGAAGCATGTTGCTGAAACACTGATTGAAACAATGAAAAACTTTAGATGAAGTTTATATGTTTTACCTGAGGCTGAGAGAAAAGTTCAAATGGTTGATATTTCTCCACAAGATGGATATCTTCATGAAATTGAATACCAGGATTGCCTAAAAGAATAAGCGGACAGGCCATGTCCCAACCACCACAGTCACAACCTCCACCATCTTTCCATCGATCAAGTAACGATGAAGGACCCTCGCTTTCATCACTTGGCACACCATGGTTTCCGATTGGTAATACCACCTTCACCCGCTCTACTACTGAACAGATATCACTTGGTTTGGAATATGCTTTACCATTTATTCCATCCCCTCGGCTGTATTTCAAACTTTCTCTCTTACAAACCGGAATTCGCAATACAATAGCAGCACTTTCAAGGCTAGCAGCATTCAGAGTCTTAGAAGCATCTTGTTTGCTGCAAGATGACTTTTTTGGTGAAGCACTTTTTATTGAGTGTGTAAAATCATACAACACAAATTCTGCCACCATATAGTTTCCAAATACTCCACCTTCTAATTCAGAACATAAACTATAGGAAACTAGCATCTGTGCTATCATTGATGAATCTTTGACACAATGTTGAGATTTCAAAACACCTGCATAATTGTTCTTGTTTCTATTATCAACAGAGTGAAAGGTATATACCCAATTGAAAGCACTAGTACCGACTCTCCATGTCTTTGCAACAAAGACATCTTTGGAAGAATCTACCTTAAACTCAAAATAAGGAAATCCTTGTTTGTTTTTCAACTTGAGATTACCATGCAGATGAACAGGTGAGCATTCAGAAACAACGCTACCAGTAGCTTTTGTTGTGTTGGAGAAGTCGTTCAACAAAGATTTTTGACAAGTCATGTTTCTTGGAATTTTTTTTGACTTTGTGAAAGGATTTAGCCTTTTTCTGATAGGATTGAATGAGACTTTTGAACTCACTCTTGATGAACAATCACTTTCTGATGGATATGGTTGGTGAGAGTGAGGTATTTCAACTTTAACTTTTCGAAGAGGAGAATTAGTAACCTTATCACTTGTCATCTTTGAATTTACAGAACCTACTTCTTCTACTGGAGAAGATTTTTTGTCACAGACATCTGAATCTATGCCCAACTCAATAAAACTATTTGATAAGCTGTGAGTCATGGAACCAGAAACAGATGAAGATTGAGGACTCAATTCTGAATCCTGAGAAGATGTCTTAACTGAATCTTCATCATCTGAACCATATGAAGAATGAAAAATGCTACCTGACATTTCAATTTTTTCCCTTTCCTCCAGTATTGTGGCCATTTTGTTTATATTTATTACTTGATTTGAACAATACTTTTCATTGAGAATCAACTCTTGTTCCATCATTAAATCCAGAATCCTGTAATACTATCATATAAAGAAAAGAGAAAGATAGGAATGAAATTAGTAGCAGTAATAGTAAAGTTCAGTTTAATGATACCAAACAAGTATAATAATGAAAAAGGGAAGGGAAAAGAGAATAGTGAAGTGAAATAGTAGAAACAAGGTGAATAGAAAATGATTGTTTCAAAGTTGAGCAGGATTTGAAGGTATTAAAGAAAGAGCGGTTATACAAAATAAATGCCGCCAAAAGGAATTGTAAATAGAAGAAGGAATAAAAATTGTCTCTCACACACGAGAAGGAGAATAGAAGAGAAAGACAAGACAGTGATAATGTCTTTCTTTCAATTTCAAACACCATCATAGTGTTTCTTTTGTCTCTTGTGCGTATTTACCTTTATCTTTGTCTTGCTAAGCACATGAGGTGGGACCATTGATATAATGCCAGCCAACTACAACAACATGCCCACAAAACAGGACAGGCTTGTCTACTGTGTTCCTTATTTATCTTTATTTTAGGGGGTGAATATCTTTTTTTATATGGAGTCATTTTCGGAAAATTTTTCCTAAAAGAAAAAGTTTGAATTTCCCCTTAACCTTTTAAGAGTCTTCTCTTTTGCATCCTCATTAAACTCAGTCAGTTTAAAAATTAATGTGTCATTGACATGTATGGCTTTTTCATTTTAAATCATTTTCACGTGTGTAAATCAGTATGCATAGTTATCAAATTATCTCCAATTTATCTTTAACCTCACATGTGAAATAGAGAAAGGAATACTTAAATATATTCTCCTTCATTCTTCTCGTCTTCTCCTTCTTTCCACTCGTCTTCTCCTTCATTCTTCTTCGTTTTCAAAGTCAAACCACCATATCTATTCATCCATCGAGAATGAAAAAGTCAGAAAGTTGTTTTCAAATGGAATAACTCCTTCGTGCAACCATAATGTTGCTATGAAGATGTTTGTTTTCAAGTCAGCTGCAAACCCAGAAAGAAAATACTGGAAGTGCAAGTATTGGAGAAAAGGAGAAGACTGTGATGTATTCGGTTGGAATGATGAAATTTTTGGTCAAAGAGCAAGATAAACAAGTTAAAATGAAGGGGAAATGATACACCTGTTGAGGAATTACAGGAAGAAATTTAAGAAAGATGTTGGGAAAAAGATTGGGTCTCAACTTTGTTCAAAAGAGTTGGAAGAGTTGAAGAAAAATCTTGAAAGCTTAAGAAATAAAACCCAAGAACTAATTACTACCACTATTATCATGTTCATCTAGATGAACATGACAATAGTAGTAGTAATTTGTTCTTGGATTTTTGTTTTTGAGCATGTAATAGAATATAATATAACAAGTTTGATGTGTAACAGTGTTGAAGTTTAATGTAATGTATTTTGAATGAATGAAGATGAAGTGTTTCTGGTTTAAATAGTTGACATTAATGGTTTATATGTTCTATGTGGTTTATTTTGTTGCAGTAAGCTTGTGATTTAGTTTGAACATAACTTTTGTTGCAGTGACCTGCTTTATTTTGTTGCAGTAAGTTTGTGACATAGTTTGGACATAACTTTTGTTTGGACATAAATTTTGATGACAATAAACATACCAAATTGATGACAGTAAACACACTTCTATGATAATATAACATAACATAAATACCATTACATGTTGCTCTAAATTGATCACATGTTATGCATTACAAAAGATTACAAAATGAACACATATTATGCATATCAAAAGGTTCTAAAATGAGCACATAATGTGCATAAAAGAGATGTTCTTAAGCATTACAAATTGTATTATAATAATCTCTACTGAGTCATTTGCCTTGAAATTTCATCTCATGTCTTCATTTTCTTCACACAAGTACTAATTTTTCGGTCTTCATTTTCTTCATCAATTTGCAATGGTGCATCTGAAGTTTATTCAGACCCAACATTCTTTTTAGACCTTCAAACGATTTTCAACCAATCATTACTCCTCTTAGGTGCTTGAGGTTACTTTTTCTGAACTGGTTTGTTCTTTTCAACCTGTTTCTTCTACTAAACATATTTCTTCTACTCGGCAAGTTCTTTCTTCTTATGCGTATGTTCCAACTCATTCATCTTTTTCTCTCAAACTTGGAAATAGGTAGCTTTTGCATCCCCATCAACATGTCCCTAATTGTAGTACCACCATCAAACTTCTTATTGAAATTGGCATACAAATGTCTTAGACATGTTATATGCTCAATTTGTTCAAACATCTCATCAAATACACTCACAAGCCTTTAATAATTGCATAAATATAAAAGCAGTCAACAAATGTATCATGTTTACCACACAAAAAAACTAATTGTAAGATTGTTCATTTGTTGTTTGCACCAATATCTTCAGCCTGATTATGAGATAAAAACATGCTTTCTGTCTGCACCAATATCTTTAATAAGTAATTGTAAAAATCGTTTTCAACTATCCCTTGTTTCACTCTCCACTACACCAAAAGCCAAAGGATATTAGTGGTTATTTGGATCTCTAGTAACAGCCACCAATAATTGCCCACCATATTGTGTTTTTAGGTGACACCCATCTACTCTAATGAAAGGTCTGCATCTTTTAGAAAAACCTTTCTTACAACCTCGAAAGCGAAAATAGAATTTCCCAAATCTTGGTGGAAGAGTTAGTAATGGTCTCTCAATGTTAATTTCCATAGTATTTCCTTAGCACAACTTCTTTAAATCAGTTGCATTGCTCCACAACATGGTATACTATTTTGTTGCATCTCCCTCAATGATTACATCTGCAATAGACCTAGCTCTCAATGCCTTCCCTTTGATTATATCAACAGAGTACTTCATCCTTAACTCAGACATTATTTCATACACTTTAACGTTACCCATTGACTTTCTTTTTTTCACAACTAACTTGGACACCTACTTGGCAATAATATATTTTTATTTAATACCCTAGTGCATGTGTGTGTCCCCACCCATGTCTTTATTTGAGTTGTGTTTGTAACCCATTTTACTACATAATCCTTCTTTTGTTTTTTTTACTCTTTACCTTGAATATAAGTGACTTCCCATTAACCTCAACCCTATTACCATGAGTTGGTTTTTCCACTACAACTTTCACAAAGCCTTCATCTCCTTCACAAGTTTTTTCTTCTTCACTAGCATCAAATCTTATGCCTCGAACATCATCATCATTGTTAATATCATCACTACCTTCACTAAATTGATTAACATTAGGCCTCAACACCTTGCATAGCATATCTTCAACGCCATGCTCAACCCATATTTGACCATCAACATTATTAGAAATTTCTACAGCTTATACATTATCAATGAAATAAACAAACTCTTCATCAAGTCGTGGTATCTTTCTCCACAATCTGAATCTATTATGTCCACACTCTTAAAATAAGCTAACAGCCTTGAAAAAAAAACTCCACTTGTCAAGATCTTGTCCTTCTACAATGGTTTCACTATCTCCGCTGTAAAACGTGTGTTTATCGTGAATAAAGTTCCCCCATGGTGAAATATCACAATGAATAAGCCCATGTCTGCAATTACATTAACAGACGTAGTTTAATGAAACTTGCCAAAGTTTAGCCATAAAGTAAAAACGTAACTAACTTTGCAAAGACACTAACAAAAGTTTACCCACAAATTTTATCCACAAAGTTTACTCACAAACTGACACGTTATGTTTGGGACCACTGAAAATCACACAAAGTTAATAGAATCATACCTTTTTTATACCACCAATGCAACAATAGAATACAAATGTGCAGTGAATGAATGTCAATGAGATGTCAGAAGAACTTCTCCTTTTTGAAACTGAGAAGCAACAATGACTCAGATTGAACAACGTGTAAGGTCTCATTTTTTTGCTAGGGAGTGAAATGATGAAGAAATAAAGAAGTTTAATTTCTAGGATTTTTGTTGTTTAAGATTCCTTTAAAGTATTAGAGATGAATTGGGGGTAGTTTGGTAACTATGCATACTAATTTACACATAACAGAAGAGAATCCAAATCCTTTTTTTAAGGAGGGTTAAAATAGCCCAAATAACAGGGGTGAAAAGAGGTATCACCCATATTTTAAGATTTTAAATTATATTAAATCATATATCAATTGATCAATATTTTTTTCATAGTTCTCTCCACTGAATGTAATTTTATTCAAAATAATGTTAAATATTAATTGTTACCACTTCTCTAAATCGGAGATTCAAATTTTGATTCATCGCATGCCTCGATAACGATCAATATTTAAAAAAAATTGAATGAAATATAGAAGTGAAAATTAAGAAGATAGCATTTTGTTATTGTTCTGGACTGGGCCTGGGGCTGACCCACTGTCAGGCATAACTCAGTCCAGCTCTGCATCGAGGAGGGCCCAACACAGACCCAATCCACCATAGTCGTTGGAGGTTACGTTCTTCATGTGCTCCTCAAGCGGGAATATGTCACCAACTGGACTCATGCCTTTCGCGGGGCGCTTTCTCCTTAGAGAACAAGTCATTCACTTCCCGGAGTTCGTGGGGCAGTTGACCCAGGATGAAGACTACATACTGGTCTTCCCTACTTTCACGTAGGATCTTGGCAGTTATTTGTTGTGGGTCTAACAATCCAGCCCACAACAGATGACCTTTGACTAAGCGTTTGGGACCTATAAATATCCTCTTTCACAGGAGGGTCAGGTATTCTAAATTTATTCTCGCTACTCCTTACTTGTATTTTCTATTCACTCTGAACCTTACTTTGACATCAGAGTGCCTTGCAGGTACACCCCCTCCTCTTCTCCGTCACCGGCGAATTTGGAGCTCACGACGTGTTGCTGACTACTGATTGAATCTCTGATCCCGTTAAGATCAATGACGCCATCTATGGAAACCCTTTGCTCCCCCTTCTTTTCTTCCTCTAAAACCTGAAGACCAAAGCAAACTTTCAAAAACCTACTGA